GTTTTTATATATGGATGCCCCTATGTATCTGTGCAATGTGTGACGCTGATATCCGACGGCCTGTTGGGCTAACCAATGAAGCCTTCCAAATGCTAAACAGATTAACTCCGAAATAGATAAACTTCACTAGAAACAAGGAATATAGTATGAAAATGTTGTTATTTATGTCCTGCTGTATGATAGAGTGTGCGAGCCGATATCTTCAAAGATGAAGAAGAATATCGTTCTACAGTAGGATGCTTAGGATACCATGTGCCGAACATGTGAGCAACGACGAAGTTTTGGCGAAAATTCAAAAAACAAAAAAAACAAACTTACATTTAACCTCCGGAAGAGACAGTTGAGATTTCCAGGTTAAACAACGAGGAAAGAAGGCTTGTAAATTCTGGTACTCACAGGACAGATTGAGGGCTGTTCTAGTTTACATTTAATGAGTTACAGGGTGTTCTATGAATATTTCCTATGCCGCCTGTTTGTGCTGCCAGCTACACGTCGTGATGTTGAGATGGGCATAGATCTAGTAAAAGGAAAAGTCGAATGGAAGAGCTGATATGTCAGAACGACAAATACTCCAAGGTATAATTTAAATAGATACTGTAACAAATAAAAATGCTACCAGGTTTTATGTAACAAATTACTACTAGGTAACAATTAAAAATACTATTGGGCGTAATGTAAGGAAGTGCTACAGGCGTAATTGCATCAAATATTATTGGTAATATAACAAAATACTAACAGATGCATTGTTACAAATGCATTGTAACTAATACTCTTAGTATTATAACATAATCTACCTATCCACCCCAAACGAGTGACTGATGGCCTCAATAAACACCTGGAGACGCGATTTACACTTAAGGCTGCAGCTAGGAGAGGAGACACGAAGGCTTGCCGCCGGGAGATAAGCGTGCTCGACGGAAAGAAAGCAACACGAGCAACTGATGGCCTCATTAAACACCTGGAGACGAGATTTACACAGCGAGGAGTGGATCCACGAAGGCTTGCCGCCGGGTGATAAGCGTGCTCGAGGGAAAGAAAGCAACACGAGCAACTGATGGCCTCATTAAACACCTGAGACGACCACACAGCGAGGAGGATCCACGAAGGCTTGCCGCCGGGTGATAAGCGTGCTCGAAGGAAAGAAAGCAACACGAGCAACTGATGGCCTCATTAAACACCCGGAGACACAATTTACACAGCGAGGAGTGGAGCCACGAAGGCTTGCCGCCGCGGGATAAGCGTGCTGGACGGAAAGAAAGCAACACCAGCGACTGATGGCCCCAATAAACACCTACATATATTGATAACAGGGTTCGAGTTCTCGTTTATTTTCATCTTTCGTTATCTTTTAAATGTGCAGTGAACCAACAACTGATAAAGGATTGCTTACGCTGGAGACGCGATTTACACTTAAGGCTGCAGCGAGGGGAAGAGACACGAAGGCTTGCCGCCGGGGGATAAGCGTGCTGGACGGAAAGAAAGCAACAGGAGCGACTGATGGCCTAAATAAACACCTGGAGACGCGATTTACACTGCGAGGAGTGGAGCCACGAAGACTTGCCGCCGGGGGATAAGCGTGTTCGACGGAATGAAAACAACACGAGCGACCGATAGCCTCAATAAACAACTGGAGATGCGATTTACACAGCGAGGAGAGGAGACACGAAGTCTTGCCGCCGCGGGATAAGCGTGCTGGACGGAAAGAAAGCAACATTAGCGACTGATGGCCCCAATAAACACCTACATATATTGATAACATGGTTAAGCTCTGTTCCTTCTTCAAGCGAAATTTTTTTTTTGGAATAACGTATATCTGAAATTTACGTGTTTTAAAAATTGACATCTATGAAAGTAACTCTATACTGATACTTATTATTAACACCCAACACTCGCCTACCAAATTTAAACAATTCGCCCTAGCTGTTACCATGGAAATTTTGATTTCAATTTTTAAAACACGTAAATTTCAGATATACGTTATTCCCAAAAAAATTTCGCTTGAAGATGGAACACAGCTTATTTTAACTCAATTTAATTTAAATAATAATATTGAAGTTTTCGGCTCTTGTTTTGAAACATGAGACTTCTTATGTAGCGTTTTGGAATCATATTTTTAAATAAATAATTATATATATATATATATATATATATATATATATATATATATATATATAACAAAACAAGAGTTTGCAGATAAATAGTGTATTGAACAGTAATCACAACAGAATTGTGTTACATGACTTGGGAGTGTGTGTCGGTTGACCAGCGTTCAGTCTATGTCACTGTCCCTTCGAGGCTTACTTTTTCTACTAACTTTATAGTAAGTGGAAGAGTCCACAATAGCCTGATTAGAGGGAGCACACCACAACACTTTCTCTTTCTATATTTTAGATAGGAGTTATTCCCTTTTCAAAATTTTAATTTCATTTTAAATCAAAAAAAAAATATTGATCAAAATGAAATATACTTATCCTAGTACACTAGAAGCCATTCTCTTGTTCAAATTTAAATTTAATTTATATCCCAAGGGTAAAAAATGTAGTTTCAGGATATATATGGTTATGGCGGTGTATCTCCAAAACCCTAGGATGAGTTCGATAACAAATAAACAGGCAGACGGAGAGAGGCTACAACTCAGGTTAATTCGCTACAATGGGCGTGGCATGGCGGGTCTTAGTCGTGAAGGTTAGAATTGGTGAAACTAAGGAATATATTGCGTCTGTGCACATTCGATGAGCATATATATTGTCACACACACACACACACACACACACACACACACACACACACACATATATATATATATATATATTATTTGATACCGATATACAATTTTTTATATATCGAGAATAATTGCGATGTGACCTCCATCTTCTGGCTTTCTCCTACTATATTTCAGATATGAGTCATTCTCTTTTCAAATTTAAATTTCATTTTAAATCAAAGAGAAAAAATGAAATCTTAGTACTCTAGAAGTCATTCCCTTGTTTAAATTTAAATTTAATTTATATCTAAGCGTAAAAAAATGTAATGTTGTTTCAGGATATATATGGTTATGGCGGTCTATCTCCAAAACCCTTGGATGAGTTCGATAACAAATAAACAGTCAGAGAGAGGCTACAACTCAGGGTAGTTCGCTACGTATGCGTGGCATGTCTGGTCTTAGCCGTGTAGGTTAGAACTGGTGTATGTAAGGAGTGTAGTTCATCTGAATGATCTCCATGGAAATAGTCATAGTCTGTGAGAAAGGGGTTGTAGGGTAGAAAATAATTTGTCACCCACAAGGACGCTTTTGGAGTCTATTGAGACTCGAAAGGGAAGACTATATAGCTCCTTCTCATATATGACAGTAACGAGAAGCATGGCTAGGCGTTGCCCGTGCTTGATTCAAAAATCGTACGATTCATACAGCAATCGCTATCACTTGACTAAAAATATTTTTGCCCTTCCTTGCCTTTAAATGAGTGCCCTTTGTCGTGCTGATGTTGCTACGTGCCTTACTTCTTGCCTATCTCACACTGCGAATTTTTTCTAAGCTCTATACTAAACATTATATCTGTTACGAAAAAAGAACTAAACAAAATGAACACAAAACGATCAGCTTTAAAAAAGAATTCGTAACTGGAAAAACCGAATGAAAAAAGAATGTTAACAACAAATACTTTTTCCCACCCAACCCAGTTCTACGGAATCAGAATCAACGTTGAGTTTAAGCAAACAATTGAGCCAATTGGAGTAAAGTGCTATGCAGATTTAAATTTTTCCCACTTGTGACGAATGCAGCTAACGATTTTTTTGCATGCTAGTTAACATTCGTGTCAGTCAGCTGTTGGCTCTCACGCTGGCCAATAGAATCTTCCTGCCTATTCGTGGCAGCCAGCTATAGGCTCTCACTCTGGCCGTGAGAAAATGGCCGTAAACTACATGAAAACTGCCATAGAAGCATGAAAAAATCAATTATTTCCACTATTGATGGGAGTTGGTAAATGCAAAGTCAGTCTTGACCTTCCCGCTAACTTGGAGCATGTGCATGTAAATTTTGGTGCGAATCCGTCAAAAATTGCAGCCGTGCATTCGTTACACACACACACACACACTCACACACGCACACACACACACACACACACACACACATCCTGCCTTTTATAGATAGAGATAATTCATTTTTGGTTTGATTTGGCTATTAAAATGGTAGCTGATAGCAAGAAGTGGCAGGTAGTTACTGAGGGGGTACAGGGAATTGACCATTTTTAGTTTTCTTCTTCTAGACCGGTTGCCAATTAATCCTAGTCTGCCATGCTATTTAACCCATAGCTGTGTGGAAAGTCGACGGATTCATACCTTTTTAAAGGGTATTTGTGTGAAAGTGACCGTCAGTAACTCGGTCGGAATTCGAACCCACCTGGTTAATTTTCTAGCGACCAATCGCCACACTACCTGCACACACAACTTCTTAATCACACTTTAAAACCCAACTTTTAAGAATTGTTTTCTAAAAAGAAAATACTATTTTAATATAACACCATCGTAAGATTAGCGTCGCGTTGTGATTTTTAATCACTTGCATTTAGAAAGTTTCGGTCTGCCATTTTTGGCTCCAAGATGGCGACAAACCGCCAACACATATATCAGCAGCGACAAAGAGAAGGCGGGAAATTGTTGTGCGAAACAGACGACAAAACATAATAACAGAACGGATATTTGGACGACTTCGTTTTTAATAATCTTAACGAATACTAACAAGGGCGGCGACCAACAATATCTTTTTGAAAAAGCCTTGCTAATAGAAAGAAAGGTCAGATGGTAATTATGTTAACGACAGGAAATAAGGAGTTGATTTAATGTTGTTCATGATTACAGGAAAACTCCAGAACCAGAAGATGAATCGATAAGATAATATAAAAAAAATATCAAAATAAGATATAATCTCAGAGATGGCTGCTTGATGTAGAAAGTAACAAATATATTTTCGGGATATTTATTAGGTTTAGCCGTGAATA